CCCCCCCCTCCCCGCGGCGGGGTCCCCCCGCTGGTCCGCCCGCCCGCCGAGCCGGCCAGGGCCGCATCCTGCTCCGCATCCTGCCCCGCATCCTGCCCCGCACCGTCCCGCGGCCAGCCCTCGCCTCTTGCGGTGGGGAAAACTTACCCTAACATAAAGCCTAGAAACTAAACTCTGTTCGGGTACTGCAAATAAGCTCCTGGCTTGTTTTGGTGTGGTTTTATTTTTATCCTTCACGCGTTTCTTTTTGGGCTTTTTTATTCCCCCCCCCCCCCCCCCCCCCCCCCTCCACCCTTGCACTCATCCAGGTTATTTGAATAGTCAGCTAAATCTGATGAAAAAAAAAAATCAACCAAACGTGCTGAGATATTACAGTCTATCTGTTTTGTTCACAGATATGGATCAGGGGTGAGATGGGCTCTTTTCCTGGCTCTGCTTTTTCTTGGAAGTAGCTGGATGAGTAGAGAGAGACAGCGTGGACGAGTAACGCGTGGGGCTGAACTTCATGGAGGTTACAAGTTTTTCACTTTTTTCAAGTATTAAAATTAAAATAAAATTGCATATAGAAAAAAAAAAAAAGAAGAGAAAGAAAAAAAAAAAAAAAGAAGCCTAGACTCCACCTTTGCACTGAAGGGATTGGTTATGCAAATATGGAAGGGGTTTCCTGGCAAATACAGCTTTCTACTGTATGGTTAATTAAATCATCACTCAAAAGCCTTCCAATGTGACGCTTCTGTCGTAATCCAATCAGGTTACGTAGGTCCTAAACAAGAAAGATATTTTCCACATCTGGAAGTCAGCAATTTAGCAAGTACTGCACATTATTAACCAATTCAGAGCCCGCTTCCCAGGGGGATAGTTTTTTCTTTTTTTTTTTTTTTTTTTTTTTGAAGTTTAAGTGTTCTTAACCAACGCTCTGCCGGTTTGTTAATCAAAAAGCCGGTTTACACCGCACGTAATCGAGAAGTAATATCGAAGTAAGTAAAGGCAGAGCGAGCCGGGGATGCTGAGCGAAGGCGCTCGGCGGCAGAGGGGGCAGATCCGGCTGAGGCTCCAGCCGCTCATGCCCAGCTCCCAGCACAGCCCACAGCCGTTCCTTCCTCCTGAAGGAGCTCGAAATAGTCTCACTGCAGAGAGAAACTTCGCGTCTTGCCCACTCGCACGGTCCTTTCCCAAGGTAAACGTGGGGCTGCCCAGTTAAAGAGCTGCGGAACAATTTCCCTGCTCTGACAAGAGTTCAGCCTATTCCAGCACTTTATTTTTATTTTTTTTTTCCTTCTCCCCCTCCCGAAGGAAACCGAAACAAACGGCACACTGATCCCGCACTGCACTTTTACTTACATTAAGCTTAGATAAACTGCTCTTGAACTGTGCACTGAGCGTGTGCCTAAAGCAAGAAGTGGAGGGCGAGCAGCAGCGATGGGATCGCGCTCCAAAATGGTCCTGCTCAGAGAACACCTTCCTGGCCGTTCAGCATCGCAAAGCAAGGAAGGGACCCCCCTCGCCCCCCCGCAGGGTGTCTTTGCAGCTCATCAGAGCCACCGAGATCTGCCTGGGATTTTCTTTTTTGTTTTTTTTTTTTTTGGTCACCAGTTAGACGGGAGTGGGTGACCCTGTGAGATGCGGGGGAGGCAGCGCTCGGGGGGGCTCCGGGTAGGGGCATCCAAATGTCCTCCCGGGCTGGGATGTGGCACCTCCGGGTGTCCCCCCTCCTCAACCCCGAGCTGCAGGCGGAGTGGGGAGGGAGAGGCAGGCTCTGGCCGTCTGCTGCCGCTGCAATCCCCAACCAGGCAAAGGTGGGAACGAGCTGCCCTAATCTTTTTAATTTATATTTTTTTATTCATATTTATTATTTTTATTTCCATTTCTATTTTTGTTTCCCGTTGCGAGTCATCGTGGCTTTGTTAAAAGTTTTCTGGGCACTGTTCTCTAAACGCCAGCATGATTTTCCTGCAGGATGCATGACTTCTCCATGCCTAGATGTACCTGGATACACAGAGGCATATCACACCCATACACACACACAGAATGATGATATCTTAATGAAATATATAGCACAGCACAAATATCCTGAAATCAAATTCAAGTATTATTAGCTTGAATTAGATCCTCTCAGATCCAGAAGGCACTGCCTATAAATCAAGGGCAGTCTGGCAATTCCTTAAAGAGCTAAACTGAATTTAGATGCATATGATAAAAAGAAAGGAAAAGAAAAAAGTGAATGCTAATTACTGACTTGCTCAATTTCCACTCACCCACGTTTTCTAGGAGAAAAAGGAGAAAACCTAAAGCCCGACCAACAAGTTCTCAAAATAAATTAATCCCATTACAGACTCCTTACATATTGTTCCTACATTTCCAGATTACAGAATCAGGGGATGAACTGGAGATTACGAGAGGCTGCAGCCTGACTGGCAATAGGCAGGAGTGCTGTCGATGGTGTATCAATAAAATATATTTATCTGCAGCCACGCTGAAAAACAAACCCTCAGAGCGTGTGATGACGCTCAAGGGCTTTAAGAAACATGTCGGCATTGTCAGATAATCCCTATTCATAATTTTGCTGGCTGTTCTTTCAGCCCTCAATCTCACAGTTTCCCCAGCTCTGATGTGCCTCAGCAGGGTTTGCATCGGAGCGATAAAACTGCTCGGATCTTCGCAGGACTGACATAGCACCCAACATTATTGGATGTTATTTTAATGTGAGATATGGGGGTGTTTGTTGGTGGGGTTTTTTAAATTTTATTTTTAATTTTTGGACACTGGACATAAACATTTAGCAATCAGCTAAGCCCTTCTGAGATGGAATTTAACCTTAATCCAGGCGATGATTTCCTGCCCGGCTCTGAACTAATAACGGGTGTGCAGCTTCTTTAGGAGATGGAAATAATGACAGGCTATAGATCCTGCCTTTATTGGGGTGGTGCTGGCTGCCTGGATCCCAGTCCCTGCTCCATCAGCATCCCCATGCAGATCCTATTCCCTGCTCTATTTTAAAACTTTTGCACATCCTATCCCCCCCACCCCACCAATTTAAGAGCAAGCAGAGCCAAATATCCTCACAAACCCCAGCTCCTTCCGTGTGTGTAGCTCCCAGCATTTGGAGATGGTTTTAAGGGCAGTTCTCCGAGCGCAGGTTTCTCCTCTTTTCCTCAGGTTTTCCTGTATGGAAATGCTGGAAATTGAGATGAGAGTGGCCTGATCCTGATGCAGACCTGCCTGGTTAAAGCCACAGGAGAAGCAGTCCTGCCTCCAGCTCCTCGGTGGGTCTCCTTTGTCCACCAAAACCTATTGTGACGAAGATAAGCCCCTTGGAGCTAACCCCGTGTTCCCACCACTGTGTGGATCTGCAGGGCCAGCCAGGGGCAGATCCTGCTGCCAGGGACAAACCCTACCATGAGAAAGGGGCTGTGCAGGGAGAGACCTCCCTGTGATCCCCAGGCACGCAGCTCTGACTGAGAGGGGAGGTGAGCAGCCACCAAGGAGGCTTTGGGGCACGGGCCCTGCAGGACCTGAGCCTTCTGCTGAGACCTTCTGCTGTGGTGGCTTTATGGGGATGTGGTGGCATGGGCTGAGGGGATGATTCACTGCCTTATTTATTTTGGTGTGTTTGCTTTTTCCCTGGTGGAGGATGAGTAACGGGGACTGTGTTTTCTTGCCCACCACGTGGAAGGAGGAAAACTGAGGGAACAGGAGCAAAGATGTTCTGGCTGATGCATTTTGGCTAATACATTTTAGAGGCTGGTGAAGACAGAGGTTTAACACCTCTAAATACACTTTAGCAGCTCTGAGGCTTTTCCTTCATGTCTTTCATAGCCAGAACTCTCGACTATTTTCCCTAAAGTGTGGAACCCTTCCTACATCAGGGATTAAACATCCCCATGTAGGGGATCCAGATGAGATGTGCCCACTTGCAGCCAAGCCTGGGGAGAGCATCCTTCCCTCCCCACAGCCCTGCTCCGCTGAGGGAGCTGCTCCTGCAAGATTTGGGATCCCTGTGGGTTCTGGCTGCTTCTCATGCTCCTGTCTCTGGGGTGTAGAAGATGTCCTCGCCTTGAGAAAGAAGAGGTTGCAAAAAATCCCCCAAATCAAAGACAAAAAGATGCTGGGGGGATTATTTTCTGCAGTCACCTGTGGCAGTAGAGGATAAGACAGGCTGGAATAATTTTTGTGAGCAGGGAAGGCCCCATGTGGGCCCAAGATGCCGCTGGATACTTTTGCTGAGTACAGGTGTTCCTATAAACCAAGATTTAGAAAGCGAAGCCTTTATTTTTTTTCCAATTTCCACATGGGGGAGAGGGCACAGAGGAGAGGAAGAAAGGATCAGGGAACGACTCTCCCCCCACCCGCTGATGAGGTATTTGGGAAGAAACCTTTTGAATCAACATTCCCAAAGTTTTTGAGTTCCTCTGCGGAAAACCCATGTAGGGATAGGATACGAGCCAAAAGCAAGGGAAAAGATTGTCTGGCTTTAATTTATCTATCCCTGGGCATTTCTAACCAGCAGATCACTGTAATATTTGATCTTGTGTGAGTCCCTGAACGTTAAAAGTGAATCTCCTCATATGTTTTTGTTAATTTTGTCATTTATAAAGCCACTTCTGACGGCCTAGAGCTGCTCAGCTGCCGTTCACAACGTCTGTCTGTGTGTCTGCAGCAAGGGAACGGCATCCACAGGTCCCAAAATTTCTTTTCTTGTTGGGCAGAGAACAGTGAGGGACAAGCATCTTCTCTCCACTGTGCCACACCATGAGCTGGAGATGCTTTTCCTTCTCTTCTGGGATCAATGCTGAAGTTCGGCCACATTTCTTGGCTCAGTTGGCAGTGATTAAAATTCACGGCTCACTTTTGTTTATAGTTGGTTGTTTACTTTGTTGAATTTTTAAAAACTTGTTAGAATGCAATTGAACACAGATTCAACAGTATTTAGGCTTGAAAAATAAAGATGCATTAGAAAGATGCCTATTATGCTTCAGAATTATTAATTGACATTTTTATGATGAATAATTAATCATTTGAATAATTTTCGTATCTCTGATCTGAACACATATTTGCATATCTAATGTCTGATTTTAAATGTGGTTTCTTTAGTTGCATTCTCCCAGGACAAAGACATGAAGTAAGTAACATCCTAATGCAAAACTTTTTTTCTTTGCACTTGTAAAAGTATGTTTATTGAAATGCAAGTTCCTCTCTAGTTATGGAGCTGTTAATAATCTATGCATGACATATATGCATTAATAAGGTGGTGAATCCTCTGGATATGAGCACATTTTTGCCTCATTTTCTTATATACAGTGGTGAGGTCCCCTGCAATACCTAAACCCATGTGAGGTTAAGCTAGGAAACCATAAAGAAATATCTCAGACACACAGTGTTCCTGTCCTGTTTACATGACACTTACTGAGAAGATCAAGGGTTGTTCCAATTTGAGGTGTTTAAAACATCAAGAACTTTTAATATAAATATTAACTGTGTCCTCCCAGTGAGCCAACATCAGTATTTTCCTGACATATTTTAAAATGCCTAAATCATAGCCCCCAAGACCCCACCTCGCTGTAGCTGGTGGTGATAAAGGAACAGCAGAAGTGCAGATCAGTTGTAAGTTGGTCAGCAAAGGGGTGCAAGGGATGGTGCTTGTTGTGCAACCCCGCTTGGCGTTGGGCTGGTGTGAGCACAGCTCAGCCACAGAGGGAACAGAAAGGAGGAAGGGGCAGCTGGACAAAACCAGAACCCAAAAGGTAGAAAAATTAAATAAAGGAATGAAAGAAGTAGCCTTTGCTCCACTGCCTCTGGCCATGGGTTAATTGCTACAGCAATACTGCCTGCCTGGCACCCCAGGAGTTGCTTTCACTTCTGTGAGAATTTGATTTATTAAGAAATTAAAGATTTGCAGAATTTTATTTAGTGGCATCTTTAATTGTACAGGGAGCCCAAATATTCTGTGTATAGCCTGTTGGCTCCTTGATGTCATACTGAAGAACTAAGGTAATGGTTGCTCTAGAAATATCTAAAATTGATGCACTATTTGTATTTAGCAGATTAGAGAAATTACATCAAAATTGAGGCACAAATTCATCACAGTGTTTAAATTTCCTTTGCGCCATTAATACAAGGAACATAAGACATATACAATGTAAAATGAAAATAAAAGCTTTTAACATATTTTATCTTTTCACAGCAGGTAGTAAAAAATATGTGCAAAAATTTTTTTTTTGTGGAAGTATATTATATACACTATGGTAATGTAGTGGGCAATATCTGACAGACAGATACTGCATAAAGAAACTGTGAAACTCAGTTCTCAGAACAGGCTGAAGTTATACTGAATAGGATGTTTAGCAGTTGCATATGCTCAGTGATAACAGATCCTTTTTTTTCTTTCTTTTTTCCTTTTTTTTTTTTTTTTTTTTTTTTTTTTTTTCTTCTAGGAGGGGTTGAGTTTGTAAGAATGAGAGTGGTAAACTTGAGCAATCTTTGTCACACGGAGGGCTAAGCTCTGAGCCCAGTGACCAAAACTGCCCCTGCTTTGGCCATCAGGGTGGTGGCAATGCCAGCAAATTTTTTGCAAAAGGACGAGGTGGGAACTGGGGCTAAACCTCTGCTTTTTTGGTTCTAAAAGCAGGGGAGAAAGCAAACATCCCTGAGATGCTCCCACAATTCTTTGTAAGGGGAGACATCCCTTCTGGGACTGGGATCACCCAGCAGCAGTTCTGGGGTGAAGGCATCCCCTGCTGAGAATCCCAGAATGGTTTGGGTGGGAAGGAACCTTAAAGCTCGTCCCATTCCATCCCCTGCCATGGGCAGGGACACCTCCCACTATCCCAGGGTGCTCCAAGCCCTGTCTAACCTTGGATGCTTCCAGGGATGGGACATCACGAACATAATCCAATGCCCCTCAGATGTTGTCATACCTTCATGAGACCAATGGACAACTTTGTGGAAGATTTATTAACATGGAGGGTTTTTTTGTTTGGCTTTAGGCTGAATGGTGAATATAAATTCTACAGTTACACAGTCGTCCCTGTGCAACCTGTTTGGGACTAGATCAAATTTCCTTTTTCCTTGATTTCTTAGTGCCACCCTGCTTTTCCCACTGACTCCTGATTAAGTTAATGGAGGTGAAATTAGCAGCAAAGAATCTGGATGCAAAGCTGACATTTTGATGTCCATCTGAATGTTTCAGACTCGATCGATTGCCCCAATTATTTCTTATCACCACCCCGGGGAAAACATATTTTTCTTTCCAAGACTTCAGAAGATTAGCTGGATATTTTAAAATCTACAGAAACACAAGGGTTACGAAGATATTTAGAAAAATCCCAAATGATTTGAAACAATTAGCCGCTGCAGCATAGTTTCCAAAGCAATTAGCCACTGCAGCATAGTTTCCTTGTGTACAGAATTGCCCAATATCTGGGAAACTGCTGCCGTTCTGTGGGTGGCTGCAGACTGGATCAGATTCCAGGAGAAGCAGAGGCACAACCTGGTGACTGCTGCACACCTAAAGTGCAGATTTACCCAGGAGCTGGCAGACATCCCCTTCGTCAGGGGTGGCATTGGACTTGCCAGGTCTTCTGTTTGCTTCCCTCTGACTATCAGCATCATCTCCAGCCTGTCTGTGGATAGAGGCTTGGCCAACTGGCCCCTTTCCAAGCCCAAATCTTAGACTCTGGGTTATTAGAGCTGTCAAAAACCAGAGAGAGGATTTTTTTTCTTTTCCCTTGCAATGAAAGTATTCTCCATGTTGTCACTCCCTCGCCAGTTTATGTTTTAAAAATGTTTCTTGGGAAATTTCCTGACTTGTCTCTGGGTCATTTGAGGGGTTTCAGGTCAGAATTGAATTAAAGGTACCAGCCCCTGGACAAGTTGTTTCTCCCCATGGATGTTTTTAGGTGCACGTACACTCCTACCAATGCTCCTTACTATATCTCTTCAAACTTGCTCCAGGCAGCATCTAAACTATTTTAAACCTCCCCATCCTTTTTTAACACACATCAGCTATCCTGCTTCAAATCTCTGACAAGGATGTGAAAACCGCAGTGTCAGAACAACTGCTGCTCTCTTCTTGGATTCTGACAAGCAACCTTCAACCTGAAACACTCTAAAAATGGCTATTTTTATCTTTTTAATGTATTTTTTTTAAATTTCAGAAGCGACTATATTGGCTGTATTCTTTCCCCTCATTCTGACAGGCTGGAAATGGGTCCAAAAAAGTCCCACTGGGAATACTGTTTGACGTCCACATGTCAGTGGGTCCACCTGCCAATGGTTTTAATGACAAAGGGGTTGTAAATGGGTGTGACTTCCCAAATTCTGGGCTAGGGAGGAAGCAACACAGTCTCTGGAATAATTCTAGCAGCCTGGGTTGGGTTGCTGTGAGCATTGATCTCCTTGGCTCCAGGAGTTAGGAACTGCAGCTCCATGTCCCTGTCTCCTGTCCCATAATTTGACTGATCCACAAGTAAAGATATTGTCCTGGACCCAACTCGTTGCACATATTAAGAGTGTGATATTAATTTGTTAACATTTGGTAGCTTTGATGGCTGTGGGGGCAGGTGCTGAGGCTCAGGGCAGCAAAGCCCATCCTGAATGACTTTGTAGCTCATCTCCACCAATGATTCTGCTGGGCTGGCTCTCCGTGTATAAACCTCTTTCCTCAGCAAGCAGGGAAAGGGCAGGAACAGAGACCAGGGAAAAGAGAACAAATCCAACCACAGCACAGCCTTGGATTTCTGCTGTTGGGGTAGGTGAGGGCCTGAGAGAGCTCCTGTGCCACCACCACCACCCCCCAGCTGTGCCTGGCCACGATGGTTTTGCCTATGCCAAAGCCTGCCTGCTGGTGGCACTCATTTTTGGGAGGTCCGTGCCTGGAATTTGGAGACAGGAGTTTGTGGGGTGGCATTTTGGAGGTGGGAAGCGAGGGGGTAAAAAGTCACGTCTGATATTTAGTGTTGGGAAGTGGATCTGGTTGGAGGTGTGAGCAGCAGGGAAAGCGACGCTGATCCACACACAAGGAAGGCAAGCTCTGCCTCGCAGGGAGAAATACAGAGCAGAGACTGAAAACACTGCAAATATTTGTTCTCATTGTCAGATGTTTCTATAAAATCTGTTGTTACTGAATCACTGCTGAAGTTACGGAGCATTTAAATAAGCAGAGGGTGAAAAAAGCTAAGTCTAATTATATGTTTCGTGCCATTTACAGAGGTTTCCAGGGGATTTTCTTTTAATAAAAGTGCAGTGCATCAAAAGGAATAAATCCTACAATTTTGTTATTTACAAATCAGCCGTGTCTGCTGCGAGCTGACAGACTTATCCTCCATCTTACACCCCTCTCTCCATCCCAAAATGCACCCAGTACACTGACATTTATACCAACACTCTTCAATACTTTTATAATACATTTATATCCATACTTGTTTCACTATTTTATACCCCTTATGTTGGTAAGCAAACTGATCAGAAGAAAATCATCACAAAGGCATAAAAAAATTCTGAAAGAAAAATACAGAGGAAAAACCCCCATAATGTTGGAAAATGAGCAACATAGATGTTTTCCAGATGAAGAGAACAAGCGCCGTTTACATCCCTGCCCACCGATTCCTGAAGATTTCAAATTGGAAGCCTGGCTGGAGATATGATGTAATTAATTAGTTAAAATGATTTACTAACATAAAACATAACACTCTTTCGATGATTAATTTTTATCCCCTTCACTTTTTTTTTTTTTTTTCCCCTCCACAGCCACTCTGCCCCTTTCTGACTCCAGATTATTTAGCAGTTGACTTCGCTGTTCGGAGTGTTGCATATCAATCCCCGGGACCAAAATATGCCACTCATGTTTTTCCTGCTATGTAATCTATGGATGCAGCACCTCACCCTGCAGCCCTCTGTGCTTCTGAGAGAAGGGAGATGTGCTGAATCAAGTTGTTGAGGCTGCAC